TCAGTTTTGAAATTCTACAAGCCTGGTCCAGCACTCCTTCTACCAGATGTGAATAATGACAGCTTTGGTGACTTGCTATTCTCTGGCTTACTGTCATCCAAAGACCCTCACTCTTGGGACTCTGGCTATGGAAATTCAGAGCCTTGGAATCAGGAGGAGATGCTAGAAACACAGAGATCACCTTCACAGACTAACCACTTGGTGTTGGTGTGTGGGCAGTCGGGGAGTATCCTTGGCAAGCCCTTGGTACTGATACAGTGTGTGAACATACTAACAGTCACCTGGGATGGTGAAGGCATTGCATATTCTTGTGTTGACTTTGGAGGTGCCAGTAAGTAGAACAATATTAGTGTACCTGTCTCTTATTTGTTTCAAGAAAATTGTTTGTCGTTGATTCACTCGCATCCCTCCCTCCTTATATGTAGATTGTTACTAATGTGTTCAAGTTTCATTTAATTTTGTTTTAAGAGTGAAAATTATTTTTTACTTCACAAATGCTTTCTCTTCCTCAAGTTCAATACTTTTTGGTGTATTTCTTTACATGTTTGCATGAAAACTAAAGTGATCAAGAAATATGAAAATGTGTTAAAAAAAAAAAAAAATGTGAAAGGAAAAACACAAAAAGCACACCACATGTGCACACACACCACACACCCATGCATGCACACACCTCACCCACACACATAAACACACAAGTGCCCAGACACACACGTAACCAAACACACACATGCCTAAAGACACATATGCCCACACATGCACGCACACTGATGCATACTCATGCACACACATCACTCACACACTCACATGCTCATGCCTCATGGCCCCCCCCCCTCCACACACACAGACACACACACAAAATATTAATAGTCTAGTGCATGGAAAAGCTTTTACCAAAAGGGAACACAGAAAAGCAGAATTATTATATATGTTTTTATTTATAAAACTTTTACAAGATTTGAACTAATTAGGGTTGTGTTTTCATTTCAGGTATGAAAGGGAAAATCCATTTAGTGGTTCTCTTACACCAGATTATGGGTAAGGATGCTCCATCTCCCTCACCATCCACAGTCCCAGAGTCTGCAAAGTCTTTACATCGACACCCAGTACATGCTCAACACAGAGATCCATGCCATATTACCGTCCATAATCAAGGACTATGTCCAAGTTGTGAATCCCAAATCCGCCTCTTCAAAGACAATGAGCAAATGATGCATAAGCACTACAAACACAGTGCTGTTGTTTCTTGGGCAACACTCCTTTCAGATGGAGAGTGCCATGGTGCAGTGTTAAAGATTTGGGAGTGGAAGCACCTTGCTACTGTTGTCAAGACAGCGAAGCCCCCCCCACAGATTGTCCGAAGAACTACACGAAGCAGTCTCGTTAGTGACAGTGACACTAATGTGGAAACTGAGCCAACCCGGCTTGAGGTAGATAACATTGCAGCCACGCAGGATGACAGTTCATCAAATTTTAATATTGCTAATGAATCTAATATGATTATTGATATTCCAAAGGAGAACAACCTTAAACAGTATCTACAGGATGCACAATTAGGGAATGAAGAGTCAAAGCCTGTGCCAAATGGATATCCAGATGTGGACGTGCCAACAACTCCAGTAAGTCCAAGGCTGAGAAGGGGGTCTCACATCAGCAGGCGAGAACCTCAACCTTATGAGCATCCAACAATACATCGCCACCATGGAAAACAAACTTCGGGAACACAGGAGGATTACAACCATCATTCTGACTTTCTGCATTATAATCAGCCATATACTAAAAAAGAATCAGAGACAAGGAGAAGGGAAGTCCACGATAGCCCAACACATCGTTTGAAGCTCGTATCAACCACATCAGCAACGAATCCCAGTCCCATTCCTGTGGGTATGAGGACTATGCCTCCAAGTGTGCTGGCACCTCCAGGGTACCAGCTACAGCAGATACATGAAAGATTAGTATTTTTAAGATATAATGGGAGTGTGTGGATAGAAAATACCTTAACAAGCTTAGGTATCACTCAGCTTTGCAAAGATGAAAAGACGTGCCTACCTGATATGGAATCCCATTCAAGATCAGGTGAGTTATGGACATTGATTTTATCCAAGTTTTAACCTGAAATAATCAGTTAACTTTTCTTTTTTTAAAACCATGAATGAAGTAGAAAATTTCTCACACATACACACACAAGCACATGCACACGCACAATCTCATGCACGCCACGCACGCCTCACATACACACACATGCACATACATGCACACTCACATGCACATTCTCGCACACACACATGCACATGCATATGAATGTTTGTGTTTATATGTGGTTCATGTGTGCATGCACATGCTTACATGTTGATGTAAGTTGTGCTTTCTCATTTTTTCAGGTTTATTTTATATGGCACATGTAGAACTAACACCTATTAACTGATTATATATATGTATAATGTTCCTTTTAATTTTTCAAACAGCTTACCACATATGACAATATTTAGAATGGTCTCTCTTATACTTGTATTTTCTTCATCTAACAGTGGCAGTTAATACTGGGATGGAAAAGAATGCCTGGCAGCTCGTGTCCAGCAGCACAACCTTCGTCAACGCACCAGCCTTGGGTGAGGAACAACACTCAGCGCCTTGGATTCTAACCTCTATTGTTAGAAAAATGATTGTACATGTATGAAGTTTCTCAGGATGTATGTGTTAATTTGACACAAAAAGCATCGTATTTGAAGAATGTAGAAAGGAGGTTAGATAAGACTGTAATTAATGGATGTTTGTTTTTATTCAAGCAATAAATTACTTTTTTCAGTTATGTGAAGAACTTGCACTTCTGTAGGTAGAGATTTATTATCATATTTTTATGTGTACTCCATCAAACAACAGGACTGACCTGTGGTACAAAGTTGCAGTTCATTTCTCTTGAGTTGGTTGTGATAATTGAAAATCTTTTAGTGGCTCATGCAATGCTCCAGTGTTAGAATGATACCTGAAAGGTTGTGAATAATAGTTACAGAAATTTATATTGTAATTAGGAATTCAATTGAGAAAAATGGGATTGGATATTCAGTTATTTCTTGGAATCGGGGAAAGTTAGAAATATAAAGAGGGCTGTATTTAAAGCCTACAGAAACTGACACATAAGATTTTGAATACGAACATTGGGCCAACAGCAGATGTGGGAGTTGTCAGTTATAGGTGGTTTATGAACAGTAAAATTGCTGCCGGTGAAAGTATTCAGTATTGCTGCAAGATCGTAACTGTGTAAACTTGAAGCTTTGCATTAGTATATTTATTTATTTTTCAGCTAATTTATTTATTTATTCATGTACTTAATTTTTGATTCACCAGACAGTAAAGATCTTTTGACTATGTTTTCTCACTCTGATGACCAGTACTTGATGATGCAACAAGCAACATTTCGGTTGGTATTTATTACGTTTTCTTGTAAATATGAAAATGTATATACTCCTTATTTATCAATTGATATTATTTTAAGAAGTTAGATATGCCTTGTTAGCTTGGAAGTGAATGGTATTGCTCCTGGCCTCAATCAAAAAAGCTCTGTGCGTGTGTGTGTGTGTGTGTGTGTGTGTGTGTGTGTGTGTGTGTGTGTGTGTGTG